CCCCTTTGGGACCAGGACGGTATATCTGTCTGATGCGCCCCTTCACTTCCAGAAAGCATCCTTTCACCCGTCCAGCTCCAGATCACCGGGGTGATCTTTGGCATGGATACACACACAGCTTAATACTGAGATAGCTGCTGTTTTCGAGTTTACATAGTGGAGGTAAGTCAGCTACCCCCCGGGGATGACAGAGACAGAAGAGGGGGGGGGGGGGAGGCTGGACATGACAACACAAAGACTTATTGTGTTCGTTAAAGAAGGAAAATTCAACAGCAGGCACAGACACAAGCACCAAGTCTAAAATATATGTCAAAATTAATACAATTGCTGCGTTTGGTTTCATAAAGATGATAACTGAAGCCATTCATACGGATCTGTTTCAAAAAGGCAAGTTTACCGCATAATCTGGATAACATTGCAATGTAAAACCTGGAGAGGTTCATGTTCCACATTTGAGAAAGATTCGGGTTTGTCTCTGCCAAGGCACCCAGGCAACTCGGTCTTGGAGCAGAGCCCAGGTCTGAGTCAATCATTGCACCTTCAACCGCAAAGAAGCAGGTAACCTGATGCTGAGAGTATGTCCTATCTACTCATCTCTATGGATGAGAAAAGTATCAGCTTTGTCACCGCACTGTGGGAAGCATGGCAGTCGAACATATACATATGCACATCAAGTGGTACAGATTCACCTGTAAAAAGATTGTAATTTGAGTATATTCCTTGTACTGTTTGAATGAATAAGCATGTACAGTAGCGACAGTTCACTAGTACTTGAATTTTTCATAGGCTCACCAAAATGTGCTCATCTACTTGTACTTTCGCTCAATTATTTATGACCTGTCTTCTAAAACCCATCTTAATGCAGTCATATTTTTAAACCTCAACATGACTTGTTTATCTGTCTTCAAAACAAAGCAGCATGTAACATGATAATTGCTAGTGCGTGTATATTAATCATGTTTATGAAAAAGTTGTTGGAGGGTTACTATGGAAGATTTTATTTTTTGGAAATGTTAAAATATTGCAGTCCTAATTTTTGCCCAGCCGTTTTCCGTAAATGTGTTTGTTTACCTGTAGCTGCCATCTACATAGATTCTTGTTTTGCTTCTAATGTGCTTGATCAAACACATCTACATTGGATGACAGGTCTCCCGTCAAGCCTCTCAGCGTGAGGGATGAGTCTGTCAAATCCACCTGCCTCTCTCCTATCCTGTCTGTTGATTTAGTATCTCCGAGGCAGACATTTTCTCTTTCTTGCTGGCGTCTTGACCCCCCCTCCTGGCCCTGTCCGGGGCCCTTGGCGAAAGGCACCATGTTATTTACTGCGCAGAGAGCTCTGTGTGCAGAGAATCAACACGGCTTGGCTGGTTGAGCAAGGGAGCAACCTGCTGCTCACTCTCAAAGATACACACACAGTCACATGACCCTCCCAAGGGGCTGGCAGAGATGTTTACCCGCGCAACAATCACTACACACGGTATAATTAAGAGCCATGGACAGAGACAAACAGACACATGAAATGTCCTTCCCGAGGACTAGCAACTTCAAACTGACAGTGGTTTCAAGCCGTTTCGGCAAATATGAAGCTTTGGGTTTAATGAGGTGACGGAGCAAACACCACATGAAGGCTGCAAAAAGTTCAAACTGACAGGACATGACAGCATTCATTCAGGTGAATTTTACAGTCAGCTGGACACCCTTGGAAACATATCCTTAGGTGGATTAAGCTCGGGGAGGACATTCTGAAACTTGGCGGTTTAATCTAACCTCTGACCTGCACATGTTGGATGACTAAAGAGAGATTCAGGCTAAAGGAAGTGTGTTCTGCTCAACGACCTAGACTTTTTCAACATTATTCCCTGAAAAGGTTGACTGAAGTACAATGCAATTGGCCACAAACCCTTCCCTTCGGAACACTATTCTCAAATCTCCAGCTGGGATCAAAAGACTAATACATTAGTGTCTGATTGATTATAGACATTTCTGTAGTTTTCCAACAGACAAAAATGTGTTTTCAAGTGCTCTTGAAAGGTCCATGTTTTAAGATTAGAAAGCAGATCCGCACTGAAATTCCTTCTCCAAATCCCCTCCTTCCTCTCAGTAATTATAGCCTTGCAGCTGACAAACTACAGGTCTGTCTGTTGTGTTTGTCTTTACCTCCTCAGATACAACAGGTGAAGTAAGGCCTGTTTGCGCTGGGCTGGATATCACGCTATTACTGGTTCTTCTAGCCAAGTACATAATACCCTTCCTGGTACAACAATAAAACACCTGGGGAGTAAAGCAGAAACAGTCTAACAAAAACAAAAACGGAATGTTCCCATTTACTAAAACCCTGAGGGAGAAGTCTGCAATAGTTAACTTGGTGAGGATGATTTATTGAGAGGACTAGAGATGATTTGATACATTGAAGACTGGGTTGATTGGATGTGAGGGAAGATGAGGGAGCTGGGTGTGAGGGATACGAGCGCGATGCAAGGAGGACTGGGATCAATCTTTTATCACTGCAGTGTGCTTTCATCCCTAATGGATCCGACATGAGCAGAGCACAGAACTATCTTCCGTCACATTGCACAGGCAGGGGAAGGACGCACGGAAAGAGCAAGACGGAGAGATGGAGCTAGACGGATCAACACGTGAGAAAGAAGGACAGGGAGGGAGGGAGAAAGTGGTTCTAACCACCTTCCCAAAACCAACCACAAACTCCAAACATGTTATTTCACCGACATGCTGTCATAGTTTTTCCAATTACCCCTGGCCCTGAATACATCTGAAGGAGTTGGGTAACAACTCATGATAAGGACGGTGAGAAATTATGTCAGAAATACTTTGAAATGTCTCATCAGGAGGAATCCCAAGAGATATCTGGTTGTGCATGGGCGGACTTTCTTTCCCGGCCATGCAAGCTGAGTGACAGATAGACACACTGACAGTGACACAGACAGACAGACAGACAGACAGACAGACAGACAGACAGACAGACAGACAGACAGACAGACAGACAGACAGACAGACAGACAGACAGACAGACAGACAGACAGATTATTCTAGAAGAAGTCCATCTGTGTATTCGAGCAGTAGAAATAACATTGCGGAGAACAAGGCACGACAACTCTCAAAGGACACTCTGCTCTCTATGCCGAACAGACTCATTCATGTGATAGAAAATACGAAATATCTAGGAAGTGAGGGAGTAACAAAAGGGAAGGAAAGAAAAAAGAAAGCGCAAACTAAACAAGGCTGGGAATAAAGCAGAAAGTTTTATAATGCAGAGTTCAAAGCTGCTGGCAACCACATCATTATCCTGCCATCTGATAGTTGCTTTAGGAATATTATCTTTAGCACTTCAACGAGGGGGGACAGCGGTACGTTTTATCACCACTCCTATGCTCCGTCCATCAAGAAATGGAAGCTAACATGCTCAACTTTCTATGTGTCACTGGTTTCAGGTAATAAAAATACTGTATTTAAGATGGCTGGTTGGCCAGGGAGCGAGCAGTATGCAGGGTCAGTATCAGACACCAGACAGGGAAACGAGCAAAGGTCAAATGAGACTTATACAGTTGAACAAGTGCAGACACATTAGACTGAAGAACAAAAAAGAGGTAATAATTCAATTGGATTACTAGAAATTTAAAATTAGCAAATAGGAGCTATATGAAAGAGAAAAACTCATACTTTAGTACTATGGTATAATACATTCAAATAATATAAGTACAAGTGCAAAAATTCAAAAATGTTATATCACGGAATATAAAGTCAGGAGTTGCTCAATAAGAATTGTGAAAGATGCTTAAGATGACAAAGTTAACCCAGAGGGGATGTTCTGGGTATATTGGAACATTTGCGGTTTCAAACAAACAACACAGCAAAAGAATAAAGCTTATTGTGGGATAAATCAAGTAAAAACACTCCAGCTCCAGCTTGTATAATTGATGACATCACAAGTTTGAAACTAACTTCTCTGGTTTTTGGATTTGGGAGAGTGTAGCTCATGTTTACAATAATTAGCTGAACTTTCCGAGGCCCTGGTAATAACATTTATTCGTTTTAAATGTAGGTGATGTTCCGCTTAAAAGCTATATGCCTGAGTCAAAGTCGTCCGTTCCTTCCCCTTCCACCATTCATCATGCTGACAATATCTCTCTGGAACCAGGTACACCGTGTGAAACGTCAAACAGAGATAACACATGAGGTATAACTGTGTAACTCCCACAGTGGGACAGGAACAACAATAATCACCTCCCGAGGGGGGGGGGGGGGGGGGGGGGGTTGGGGAGGGGTTTCCAATCGATGGCCTTGATTGGACAACAAATACAGCCTGCTAATGAGCTCCAAGTTCCACTATCTGACATATACCACGCTGGCAAATGTTAAATAAGATGCTAGTCATGCATAACGATGAGTCAATGTTTAAATAGGCTTAGAGTGCTTTGGTCATTAGTGCGGGCATTTTAGATGTGTAGCACGTTAACAGTTAAATAGGGTAGGAACATGCAGCTGTCCATAAATTAATATGTATTCCTATGGTGGTAAAAGCAGCAGCCTGTGCGAAAGGGAGATCTGTACAAAAAGATCTACGGCACTTGTCTGTTTGCCCGTAGAGGCCAGCTATCTGACTCACACTGAGAGTACTCCAAATACACAAAAAAGCACAAAAAAGTAACACAAGTTCCTAAAGAGTGAGAGTTTCACCAAAACAGGTTTGAGTCTTCACAGGAGTGCTTGGGTGGCGGGTCTAGTGTCAACAGGTACATGTAATGACACAGCTCAGGCTCTAAGACAAAACAGTAGATTCACTCTGTTTCTATGGCGGTAACCAAAAACATACCCACACAATCTCGTACTGATTAATAATAATTGCTGTCTTTACGTGCATGCTAGAACATACATCAAAGCCACAGACAGATTGGCGGACTCCAGAGAAACTTCCTTGACGTTGACATTCAAACAGGCAAGGACACATTCAAACAATCTCCGAGCCCAGCCCAGACACTCACCGAGTGAGAGGATCCTCTCCTTCTCTTCTGTGACTATATTTCTTCTGTTTTTATTCTCTCCGTCTCCTTTCCTCGCTCAGGGGGAATCCTTTACTTCTGACAAGAGCAGCAGAGCCGGTTGTGCAGCTGGTGTGTGAGCCAGCGAGTGAGCGTGTGTGTGTGTGTGTGTGTGTGTGCGTGTGTGTGTGTGTGTGGAGCATGCAAGTCCAGAGTCCGGAGGTCAGAGTCCGGAGGTCAGAGGCAGTCGAACGTGATTTAATAGGATGTCGCGACTTCTCCGCTCTATCCTTCTGCCTTCTCTCCTTCTCTGCTTGCTGCCTCAGGAATGCACTTCTCCTGGGTGTCCTCTCCACAGCCAAGATCTGAGGGACTGCTATGGTTCTCTCCCTCTCTCTCTCCGTCTACACCCCTCCTCCTTCTCTCTGTCTCTCACCCACACAGAAACACACCCTCCCAGTCCCTCCTCTCTCTCCCTCTCCCCACCCTTTCTGCTGTGCTGACACTTCAGGTACCTCCCCCTTTTCAGGTAGGTGAAAGCCTGTTTTGGGTTTCGCTGTTCTCTCTCTGTATCAATGTCTCTCTTATTCTCTTTGTATTCTGCATTCCCATGACACACAGAGCAGATTGTAACTAATCTCAGAGAAAAGAGCAGAATCAACCCGAAACTCTGTGGATGCATCTATACCGGCTTTTACTGTAAGTACGATCTATAACCTCAGGCATAAAGCATCCACCCTCCTGCCTCTGGTCACATGAACAGCTGATTACACAAATGAGTCTGTCAGGTGATTTTCTTCCTTTTCCTGGAATGAGGTCATTATCTGGCAGACCAGGTGCAGTTGGAGACTCAGCATGTGTGTGTGTGTGTCTGTGTTTGAGCAGGACTGTGCCCTGTGGGAAAATGTTGAGACTGATACAACCAATATCTGACCATCCCATTTCAGAGGGTAACAAATGTACAAAAAAATGCATAATGACTACTCAACATTCACTCATGTAACAATGCCACAGTCCTGAAGCTTCTATCTCCACTGCCCCCTCCCACACCCAAACACAGAGCTAAGACATGCGTGACCAATCGGTCAGGGAGAATGTGTGGGAGAACCAGCATGAGCCGACTTCTGTTTTTTCTATTGACACCTCTCCTCACCCTATCACCTAATTTCCCTAAATTGTACATTTGAATTGTTATTGGCCTCTTTTATTTGTCTCCCTTACCATCCCCCCCCCTGAACCTGAAACTGAAGACTGGCCACTGAAAATAGACCTGATACTAAGCAGAAGTCTTCAATGTAAAACAAAACAAAAAAGTGAACTGTACCATCTCTAACGACCTAAAAGCACACAGTAAAGTATATGCGTGCTATCAGCTGTTAATGTCAATTACAGTGCATCTATCAGACATGCCCATTGATAAAAATAAACCATGATCCAAACTATAGAAGGTAAAAAGTGTCAGAAGTCTTTGTTAACCTGGATATTTTTAGGCCAACACTATTTTCAATATTTGAGAGTTACGAAATAATGACAAATTATATAAACAAATATTCATGAATGCCCTTATATAACCGTTTTTTTTTTTTAGCAAAGTGACCAAAATATGTTCTTAGCAGGACATTTTATAGCTAAATGTATTCGTTCTCTGTGGTGGACAACCTGCTCTAGGACAACTGTTTCTAATCTACCTCAAGAATATCCAATAGAGTAAACCAATACTGATATATCCATGATAAGCCAGGTTGTTATTCTAACCCAAAAGTCAGACAAGTTTCTGGTAACTAAGTTCTGCAGCCATGCCTACATAATGTCTCAGAATGCTTATCGGTTTGCTTATCTTCCTTGTTTGAGCTAAGGACATTTTATAACTATTATTGAAACAATGAATCACATAATAAATTAGACTGTGTTGTCAAAAAGGTCAAGGAAAAGTATTCAAAATATATGAAAAAAACTGTCAGAAGTCACAATAAATCATAGTGCCAGTTTAAAAAATGCACAACATGGCTCTACATTATTCAGCAGCAGCAGGCCCTGGACAAAACCTACTTTATCCTTGTGTTAACTTTGTGATTATCTGACGTCAGATTGTGTTCTGATCAGACTAATGAGGACATGCAGTCATAGTGCCTAATAACCAGTGTGCACATTGTATAAAGCAGATGTTCCAGAAATAGACGTCTTAGATTAATTGCATTAATTTGATGAATTAAATCATGCAAACAAAGTCCACTGTGAAGACTGCTCTAGCATAGCCAGGCTGAGTCACAGAGCCCCGCAGAGAGCCAGTCCAAATCTATATGCACTGTTTCACTCTTCTGCCTCTGAAGCAAAGCTTTTGGCACATCTTAGAGCTGTGTTGTCTGACAAATCACTTGAACCACACTGGTGGGGGGGGGGGGCTCCTGAGGCATTGCTGAAGTACTGAAGGCCAGTGTGAGAAAAGGCCTATAGGTGCCATAGAAGAGTGACATTATAAAAGCAGCAGTGAAGTAAGTACACTTTATGGATACTGACAGTCTATTACCCTTCAGTGGTTGTTTGCTTGTCTATCATCAGACCCAAATCAAGTCAGTTGGATAGATTTTGTTGTAAGACATGACTCAGCAGTGGTTACAACAGGGCTGAAATCAGAGTGATGGGTGAGGGTTTTGTAATGAGATGTGGATGATTATCAGTCCAGAGCATCCGAGGCTTCTCTGACACCTTCCAGGCATTCCTCAGGGCACCTCCCACTGCTGTGCCTCCCTCCTCCCACCCTCCCCTGTCAAACCTCACATATCATAGCTCTTTTTCTGCGTGACTCAAACATTCTTGCAACTCCCTTTCCTCCTCCTCCTCCTCCTCCTTCCCTCCTCCCTCTAAAGAAACAAAGACGAGGTCTTAAAAGCTTTAAGAAACCTGGGCATTAAGAAGAAATCCTCCCCAATTTTGTACTTTTTTATCCTTGTTGCACAAAGGCTGAAAATGCACTCAACTACCAACTCTAAATGGCTATTTAACTGCCTTCAATCATCACCAACCTCTAAGTTCATTCCTCGACAAGTGATAGTAGGTATAAAATTGCCAAAAGAGCGGCGAGCCAGCCATAACTCAGCTCAGACCAGACAGGAAGATGGCTCTCGGGCTGAGAAATAGACTGGTTGGGTCTGGCAGCAGTTCAATAGGTTCTGGGTAGGGGAGCAGAGTGAGGGGAATACATGCTGATAGTGTCTTTGTTGGCCATTATTTACCAAGAATGAATAGCATTATGTTCCTTCCATGGCTCACCCCTTCCAGTCTTCCAAGTTGAAACCCCCACCCCCCATCTTCTCTCTCTATTTATTCAGGCTTTCACTAAAAACAGCCTTCAACAGGTGGACAGCAGGTCAACATAAAGCCTAGACAGTGAGTGGAATGAGGGCGGCCTACTTTAGCTCTGATTTCAGAAGTTACACAATCCTGAACTTTTGTTGACATGGGTTTTCAAAGTCATGGCAGGCAACGCAAGGTACTGTATTGATGCTCTGTTTTTGCCAAACATGCCTAAGTATAGTATTGCTGTCTCATTATGGTCAGGCCAATGCTGTTGCTTCGGCAGTATGGCCTTGTCTTGTGTATCATTATGACAAGCGAGATGGCTTTCCCCAGCAAAGGTAATTGCACTGTTGAGACATAAATATAGCACATCCCACACAACAGACAAAGACTTTTGTTTTCTTCCCAGACAACCTGGCTTAGAATATGATTCATGTTTTGGAAGCAAATGCATGTCACTATATTATCTCCCTGCAAACAATAACAGCTGCTTTGAAAATGTATTTCCAAAGTGAACCTGAGAACAAAAAGATGAACAAAGTGAAAAGGACAGTAAGAGTGGGTAAATTGGGTCATTATTAACTCCTGGTAAACAAACTCTGCATTACTGCAAACACTGGAAAGAAAGGAAGACTAACAACAATATACCTGAGCCTTGTTTTTCTTCTCTGAACCATTTTGGTTTGCAGTAATGAAGCACATAAGAGAATTTCTGTTGGCTTTAAGCAGCTTCCAAGTTGTCGAGACTTTGGCCGCACTCCTGGGCAACTCTTTCTCTCCCTTTTTAATCAGAACCAGTCTAGACTGGCTCAGGACTACGTTTTCAAAAAGAGCTTCTACGACAAGAATGACACGGTGTTGCATTTTTGAGGGCCTGTTTGAAAAGCTATTTTTATTAAGCAAAAACATTAAAACCTAAAATCAAAAGCTGTAATATTTTCCTTCAATACTTTCAAGTGGTCATGTTGGAACTAGTTAAGTAGTGTATCATCTCTCATCCCCTCTAGCAAAGCCAGTCTGTTTTCATCCTACTTTTAGTCATTCTGTTTCTCGAGATGCAACTGTACCATTAGGGTCAAACCGTGCTGTTCCCAATCAGTAAATGGAGATAGGCTACAGCCAACCTTATTGGTACTGGTGTGAAAGTTGTATCTTTAGAAAGGACCTCAAGTTTTCACTTGTGCACAAAGTTGGATGGTATGATGACAGAGGGGCATTTTCATTTGTCTCCCTGTCTTTCCGATGGAAGAAGTGCAAGTGAGTCAGGACAAAAAAGAGAGTCAAAGTCCACAAGAGGCTCCTCCCAGTGACCCCAACCCCCACACCCCTCTACAAGCCGCGGGTCCTGGCTAAGCTGAGGATTTCTCAGGAGAGACCCAACCCACAACTCTGGTCAAGGCGCACCATGTGCACTGACAGAGCAAGGAAAACAAAGAGTAGGCGAGATGAGGTATTGGCCTGTGTGGGGGTTGGTATCGCTGATTTAATGATGATCTCAGTAAAAAAACAAAAGCTGGTGGTAGGGGGGCACTGGATGCACAGGAAATGCAAGTTAGTGACAGGGGAGCTATCAGGTGGGAGCAGGTCAGGGGTCGGAGGTGAACAAAAGCTTTGTAAGCCCCACAGAGCGAGGGAGAGTCCCCCCTGGACGCCCTCACTGACGCCCAGTCCGTGTCTGCATGCCTCCGCCTGTATTTTGTTTTTCTCACAATGTTTTCGCAAATACGTTTGTCAAGTCTTAATGCCTTTCAATTTGTCTTCCATATAGACTAATATTTCACCCTGGCTTTTCTTTCCATTAATTCAATACAATGTTGACAATCTTGAGCTTTTTCATTGAGTTTCCAGGGGAAAAGGCTATTCAAACACCTGGAGTAAAAACAGCATCTAAAAGCTTTCAGTGCACCGCGCCTGTCATCTCTCACCTTCAATGGCTCGACTGGATCAAAGGAAAGCTGGGTTATATAAAGACAGTCTTTTGTAGCTACTATTATGACCTATAGGAACACAGAACCACAAAAGGAGAAATGTATGCATGCATTCACATTATGGATTTATCTTATCGTACCATTAACCATCACACATTTGAGTTCAAAGCAGAGGATAAATGCAAAACC